AAGTGCGTGATACTCCAGTTTTCTTTCCAGTCCCCTTGAAGGCAGGGATTAACTGCCAAACGTCATTGAAACCCTGTGATTTGTAGAGCAGGGTCAAAAAGAAAAAGCAGCAGTTTGTAGTCACGTGTAGTGGTACAAAATACGGTGCTTCTGACCATCCAGATCTGAACATGGTTCTGAACAAGGAGGAGATGCCTTCTGTTCTTCCCTGTGGAGTGGAAAGGCTTTTCCCAGGTATCACACAGGACACGTTCAAAACATTGAAACACGCAAGTCAATGTGGCCATTGGTGATAGAGCTTAGAGGGCAGGGTGGAGCTTTGTCAAAGGCTGGATTTGGTGATCATGGGGGTCTTTTCCAACCTTAACTATTCTGTGGCAAACCAGGGGTTGGGATTAAATCCCAGAGGAGGGGAGACAGGGAAACAAAAAATTAACTCCTGGACGTGTTACCTTGTGGCTGGCTCTCCCAGCAGGAGCTGTTCTCATTCCCTTGGCTTGTCTGACCACAGTCCAGAGCCAGGGGCACTGGGGGCACAGCAGCCTCTCCCTGCAGATTTCTTCCCTTGCATGGGAGCTGAAAACACTGCCAGGAACAAAGGTGGCAGGGACCAGCTGCCTCCTGCACAGAGGCTCCCCTTGGTGCTCTCAGCACAGCCCGGGGCTGCCCCTGCTAGCCCCAGCACTTGGTGTGGGAAGAACCTGCAGTTACAGAGCAATAAACCCGAAAAGCCTGTTTGCCAAAGCAGGTACTTCTGGCACAGCAGGGAGCTGCTCCCTCTGTGAAACTCTGAGAGTTTCAAGGAACAGATCCCACAGCTGTGGCACAGGGATGGTGCTGAGGTTCTGGTGTGGGCCAGCACAGAAGCATCCTTTTACTACATGCAAGAAGCACCCCCTCCCCAGATAATTAGTATTTAAATTATCTATATAAATGATCTATATATTATTTGCTAAATTGAAAAACTCAAAGGATACAAACACCTTTATAAGGATCATTCCAAGTGTGTGGCACAGCTGAGGAAATCCCCTCTGAAAGGCAGGTGATGCTGTTTCCAGTACTACCAAGAACATCACAGGCAGATCTTTGGTGTTAACTATTTCAATTTAAAATTTGAATTAATTAAATAATTAATGAATTAATTAAATCAGTGCTTTTGATTCCCTAAAGAAACTCACCAAAAGTTGACAGTTCTATAGACAGATTTAGGCACCCTTTGGTGAAGCAATACAAGAACAACACACACTGACTGCTTGAGCATTTGCATACAGGTAAAATAGAAAAGGCATTACTAGTTTTCCCTGGGGATTTTTTTTTTGGTTTTTTGGGGGTGTTTTGTTTTGTGTTTTTTTTTGTTGTTGTTGTTGTTTTTTGGTTTTTGGGTTTTTTTCTTGTTCATTCCACTTGCAAAAGACCCAGGAGATATATCTTTCTTTTTTTTCTGTACAGGTTAAAATGAGGGAGTTGGGTGTTTTGGTAAGGCATCACAGGGACAGTGATCCAGAGGTAAGTGGTCAGATTGCTTTATCACAGTATTTTTGAGAAGCCTGGGATTTTGGCTTTGGAAGGCATTTGCTTGCAGGTGCTTGGGTGGTGTGCACTCACCACAGCAGGGCAGGAGAGTTTGGCACATCAGCTGGAGATGAAGTGAGCAGTAACACTCTACCCCACCACCAAGACAGGTTTTCCTTTTTAAATTCAAAAATCCTTTATTTGCCAAAAAAGAAGAAAATATAAAGTAAAAATACAAAGATCAAACCATGCCACCACAAAATGTCTCCAAAACTACTTTTACAAAGTATGAGAACCTTTATTATTATTATTAAATATTCAGTTTCTAACCCCCTCACCCAATGATACAGTGAGAAGATGAGCACACACAGGGAAGCTCTGTTTGTTTTTCTTACAGTAGCTCATGCTCATCACTGAGGTTCAGTTTTGTTTGCATAGACCCAAGATACTGATCTAGAAACTCCAAATCCATGCCATTACAAGGACAGTTCAGTGAACTTAGTGTTGGTCTTTCAGGACTATTTTGTTTCAGAAACTAAGCCCAGTACCTTGGTTAGAGTGTCTTGAGTCAGCTTCATTAAAGCCTTGGGGCAGGAGAGCAGGAAGGCTTTGGAATCCCTTTTTTGCTGTCCGTGTCTGTTCTGCAGCACTTGCTCCTCTAAGGCAGGAGGGGAAGTGGAGCAGTGCCCAGGGTTCACTGCCAAAAACTGGGGTGCAGCACATACTACTGAGATTTTAGAAGAAAGAAAAAAATCCAACTAGTACCATTCTAGCAGTAATACTGAGCCATAGTTCCCATCTTAGTACTGCAGAGAGAAAATACTTATGATACAACAGTAAAAATTTGGCAAGGGGTTTGTAAGAACACAGCTTCATTTTGCTAGACAAAAGCAGACTAGAGAGAACAAATAAGCACAATCACATTTTTATCATGCAAAACTGAATTTTACTCACTTTTCTGACTATTCGTAAGGAAAAAGCCTTCGGTGTGAGCTGGATGCGCACTGAACAGTGCAGGATGTGTCCTTCCAGGGATGCAACATCTCAAGTGGCACTGACATGGAGTCAGGAGGCAGAGCCAGAGCCAAGGGACTCCTACAAATCTTTTGGGCAGGGATTCTGGACACAAGCAAAGAAATCTGACTATCTCAGAAAAATATCACAGAAAAATGCAAAGAAGTAGGACAGAAGTTCCCAAATTTACCTCACTTAAATCCTGTAGAGTTACAAACCTTCCATCCAGAACAGCTGGGGACAGGACTAAGGCATAAATGGGGTGTAGAACACACCCTCTATTAATGCACTTGTGCATGCTGAATTATGGTTATTTTCAAGTACTTTAGGGACAGAGAATGGATTTCCATTCCTGGAATATTACTGCAGATTTTGCACTGCCACCACTGTAGCAGCAGCTTCTGCAGCTTGTCCTATTCACACAGAATGCAAAACATCTGCTGTGAATTGGAGGGTTTTATGGATTAGCTTGTGTTGACCTACCAGAAAGCGTGGATTGGGTTTGGATTCACTCTGTGTTGTTGTTGCAGTACTGAATGTCTGTTTGTAGGAGAGAGGGGCTGGGTTTAGGCTAGCAGAGCAGCTATCAGCTTCCTGTCTCCATTTATTGAACCAAACCTTGGGAAGGCAGCTGGTGAGTTTTATCAGACTCTGGGTTCTGACTTCTGCAAAGAAAGGCACCAGTTCAGGCTGGTGTGGTGTGAGGTGGGAGCCTGAATTCAGGGATGGGTTGAGTTAAAGGCCCTCTGCAAAAGGCAGGTAAGAAAGACCCTGAAGTGGTGGATGATAGAACTGGCAAATGAGACATTGCAGTATTGCTGCTGCTGAAGGACCATGAGGGCTCCATTTCAGCCCAGAATGGGGTTAAGGTTCTTCTTGTTCCTTTTGAGGAATCTTAGTCTTTGGAGAGATGTAAAGGGACATCAAACTGAAAGGCCCCTCTGGGCAGTGAAAGACGGGCGAACTCCTGCTGTGCCCAGGTTCTTCTCAGAGAAACGTGGCTGAAGCAGGTTACAAGCAGCAGCTGTGGGACTTCCATCCTGTGTCCATTCCCACAGTCAGTTCCTTGGTGGTTCTGCATTTGGGCATTTGTGGAATCACCCTAGGGAAGATTTTCCCTTCGAGATTATGGCAGTGATGGAGAATGCATCCAGACCCACTGTGTGCTTGCTGCATTCCAGGGGCTTGGTCAGAGTGTTCCCTGCTTCATCTGTTACTATGGGATGCAGATCACCTGGCAGGGCCTTTGGTAACAACATGGGCATCCAGAAGTTTCCCAAATACCAAGTCCAGGATCCTGGGCGGTGTGAGTGCATCTGGTCAGTTCAACTGAAACCCTTCTCTCTTCCTGAGTTTGATTGTTGGAGAATTCTGACCCCAGGGAGGCAGCAGCACATCCCCCTGGGCAGTGGCAGGCAGGGCTTGGGCTTCAGAGACTCCTGGAAAAGCCCAGACTGCACTGGAGTGATCAGCCCATTCCTCATTTGGATACTGAGCCCTGGAGGTACCACAGGGATCCCATCCTGTCTCTGGGGACACTCCACTGCCCAGCTGTGCTCTGCCTCCAGGGAGGGCAGCAGGGGCCTGCTGGGAACAGGGCAGGCATCTCCCAGGAATTCTGGCAGAGGCACAGCTTGAGGCTCTCACAGGGAGGTAACAGGAGACAGATGATACAGTGCACACACAGCAGCCCAGCATTACACACTGGGCACAGGTGGGAGGCCCCAGACCTGCTTCTGCATGTATGAGGGCTAAAATTAAGAATTTATTCTAATCACCCCTGTGCTGAACCACAGACAGTTCCTGCTGGCCAGGAGGGGACAGCTGCAGCAGCAGTGTGTGCTGGAAGCAGAGACACCACTTTTGATTCTAGGGAGAAGATGGTTTAATTTTGCACTTAAAGCAAGAATTCATTAGTTAGAGTATTTCCTCCCTGAGCCAGGAGAAAAATTAATTCTGGCAATAATACAGACTAATTCCTTTACTAGTTAAAAAAGGGGGTTGTTTTTTTCTTCATTATCTCAGCTTAGTCTTTTGGCTACAGGTTAAAGAAGACTACAGGAGAGGAGGAGAACACAGGAATGGACGGAACCAGTGCACACCAAGCACAGCAGTCTCAACACGGTAGCTCAACAGCAGAGATCCATATTTGCTGTGAATACTCTGCAAAACACTTCCACCAAGTAGAAATCTACACAGACAAAGCTCTGGCCAGAGGCAGATCAGCACAGGAGGGAACATAGAATAGGTAACTCTATCTCAGATTCCTAGAGAACGTGACATGGTGTAGTGCTGAAACTGCTCTCAGATCCACAGCAGTGAAACAGTCCAGCAGCCAGTGTTAAGAGCTTGGGGGCAAAGCACAAAGGGACTTCACTCTCCCCATGCACAGGCACATTCCCTTCATTTCCAGGACAGGAAGGAAAAAAAGAACTTCACTGTGACCTGTGTTTTAAAAGATTTCTAGACACTCATTTAAGTTAATTTGGCAGCTCTTTTGTCACTCCTGGTATAAAGCCAAGGGGACAGAGTGGCATAGGACAGAACTGACTGAGAAACGACCACTATCGATGTTGCATGCAGCTGTTGCAGGTAATCATTAGATGCTGGCATTTATTGCACATCTGGGGACATAACAGAATTTATATATAAATGAAACAAGGTGCAATCACCATTTTCAGTGAATGTGCACAATAATACATTGTAAAAAGCCTTTTCATAGAAATTACCTTATTGCAATTACACAGGAAGACAAAAAGGGGTCTCAAGTTTCAGTGTACAAAATAAAGCACATTGTTCAGATTTAAGGAAAATCCCCAAGTGCCTTGGGACTGAATGCTATCCAGTTTGAAAGACATGAGCTGTCTACCACTTCTCTATGCTCAGAGATCTGAGATAACTAGTTTGTCTGACTTGGCTCCAGTTTCAGGAGGAGGTAAGACTTCTTCTGTGTCGTAGTCTTCTTCACATGATCTGCAAAGACAAAAGGTGTGTCTTTAAAAGCTGTACTTTGGTTTTTACAGCAGTTATTTCAGTGGCTAACTAAGCCAGCTGGCTAAAATGCAGTAGCATGTGAGAGGTGAACCTCAAGGAGGAGATTCCTGAGGCATGGGGAAGAGGTGGGAGTAATCAGTACTCTGACAGCAGACATGAATCTGTGCTCCCGTCCAGCCTCATCTGAGGCTTCCAGAACAAATTCTCACTGGTGTTCAGCATTAGAAAATTTGAATCCAGCTTCAGTAAAAATTGTCACGAACTCCCAGAGCCTCAATAGTTCAGTGTAGAAATAAAGTCATCCAACCACAGCCCCAGGCCCCAGAGGAGCCTTGGCTTAGAAACACCTGGTCCAATGCATCTTCTGGCTGACGTGTGTTTTGACAGACATAGAACAACAATTGTGGCCACGCTTTCATGTTCCTCTCTCCCTCAGTCTGAAGTTTGGTATCCAGGATTGAGCATTTATGGTCCAAGGAGGTTTGGTGGGAATTCTCAGCTCCAGCTGCACTATCCAGGCTGGTTGGGTTCCATGCCCTGCAGCACAGGATATGGCTCTGGGGCTCTCAGCCCATTCCTAGTCCCAAGAAATGATGTTTTTAAGATGTTTCCCTTCAGTCACAACATACTATGGGTTAGTTTTGCAGGGCTGCCAAGAAATTTAAGTTCTTCCTTTTGTTCTAAAGCAAGATTGCTCACAAAGGAGATGCTGGAGCAGGTGCTCCAATGGCCAACACAGAAATGGCTCTCATGTTCATTGGTAAACTGAGCTGCAAAAAGGCGAACTCCTTTGATAGCCCAGCATGGATGTGCCAGGAAGGAGCTGTCTACCCCTTCATGTGGTGTTTTTCCCTTGGCTGACCCATATGCAGGAACAGCAAACCCTTGGGAGGTTGTCAGGGTCTGTCCTGCTGTAGGCAGGAAGCTCCCTGTGTGGAGACCAGCCCAGACCTTCCTGGAGAACACTGTCCTCTCTCTTCCATAGGGAAAGTACCTGCTTAGTAATTCTGCCACCTTCTGGATTCTTGTATAAGTGGAAGAAGGTCTGGATCCTGCACCAAACCTGTTCTGATCATGTATGCAAGGTTGCCAAAGTATGTGCAATTTGCACCCTTCTTGCCTCAGTGATGCCTGTGGGAGCTGTGTCACCCTGCCTTCACCACCAGGAATGGATTGGGAATGTTTGCAGGTGCCTCAGCTTCTCTAATCTCTCCTTGGTTTAAAGTGATGCAGCTGAGGAAAACTTTGTATTTCCATTTGAATGCTGTTCTTAGAATGATCTTTTTTTATCTCCTTTTCCTGCAATTCTACCACCCCTTCTGTTAGCCTTGTCCCTTTCTCTCCTACAAATGCAATGTGACTTCTTCCCTGCCTTGCACAGTCACCAGCAGCTGGAGCTCCATTATAATCTTTTTCTTCAGGTGTCTTTTGCTTCTGCACTAAACCCTCTCATGTCTGCTTCAAAAGGGACTTCCCACTGTCCTTTCCCAGTGAGTTTCTTTTCCACTGCACTGGTTTGCTCCTTAAGGCTCAACAGTGCCTGCCTTTCCCATCTTGGAATAAATGCTTTCCACCTTTATAGCTAAGGAGTGTCTCTGGGATGCTTTTGAACAAGATCAGCACTAAAGGTAATCAATCCTTGCTTTCCTCCCAGGCCAGTTTCAAAACTTCAGTCCCATAAAAACAAATATGGGCTTATATAGGTTAAATACCCATTCCTTAAGACTCATCTGTGGCAACTCTAGGTTGTTCAGAGGAGGAAAATGACTTCAGGGAAGCTGAGGCTTCCAGTGAAATATGATGCTTTATTGTTGTCTCAAGCATGACAAGACCTTCCTCTTACTTTTGGTGACTGCAGCTCTTGATGGAGTCCAGCATCCTGGAAGTATCTTGGATACTGGGAATATTCACTGCCTTGATGAGATTCCCATTGTGGGAGCAGGGCTCTCTCCTGGGCATGCCTCAGCTAGCTTTAGATTGGCTTTAGAAACTTTCCCTCCAGAGAAACAGGGACAGGGCTAATCACAGAAGTGGGACACACTAATGCATCTGAGTGCTGAATGATGATTGTTTTCAAATGTCTTCATAAGACAAAGATCAGATTCCATGTTCTGCCAGCTAACTTAGCCAAAAATCTTCCAGTCTCTCCCAGAACTCACCAGGAATTGTCTTGGTTCTGTCCCCGCTCCCTGTTTCTGTCATCCTCAAAACACAGCAGAAATAATGTATGTGCAAAAACTCAATGGGTCTTTCTGGCAAATTTGTCTGGGCATCCAGCTCTTTGTTTTTCTTTTTCCTTTCTTTTTTTCTTCGTGGTCTGTTGCTATGCTCTACAAATGAGATCTAATCCTGCTGCCATGACTACAGAGGTTTTCAGGGGCTCTTAAAGGCTAGCAGCCAGGTTGCTGACATGCTCTTTGCAGGAAGACACAGAGCTGCTTCAGACCAGCTTCAAAAATCTGACATCACCAATCACTCTTCCCCTGGTTTCGGTGACTTTGGGAATTTATGGTCCCACATGAAGCTTTAGTGGCAGCCTCCTGTTTCTTTTCTGTGCTGAGGACACAGGTGTTGCAAAACAGCTGCAGGAAATACAGCAATTTCATCTTCCATCCACCACAGAAAGGCCAGGCAGCTCAGAGGGGCTGAGGGAACAGCCTGTTGCTGTTCAGATGCACAGGCAGAGAGGGGAGCAGCTCTCAATAGCTTTGCAAATCTCTGTGCCTAATTAGTAGGTGCTACTGTTATCCCAAGCAATTTCCAGTGTGGGAAGTTTTGAAAGTGATGCAATCTTTTCAATACTCTACTGGCTCTATAAATACTGCTTAAGACTGGATGCAATCCTGAATCATGCAGGATTAACACAGGCTAAGCATTCTTTGAGTGGCTGAAAAAAATATTCTCAAGATGCCAAGACAGACACAAATCTAAAGGGAGATTAGACCGAGTCTTCGTTTATCTGCAGAAAGCCCTTGCCCACAGAGGAGTTCTGGAACAATTGCTCTGCCTAAATTCACTGGCTAAAGATAGCTGGTGTGTCTGTCCAGAATCTTACAGAAGGTTGAAAACTGAGTGTAGGTATTGAAGAAACCAAATGTTTAAAAAAAGTCTCAACAAACTTAGTAAATGAATGAAAATATTGAAGTATAACTTATGAAGAACACAGACTAATAGACAAAGTTGGACTAAAGAAAATCTCTGCTAGGTATAATAAATGTAACAGCTACAGCTTCTATACTATGACAGTGTGACATGGTCAATATATGGCCAAGACCAGCAAAAGTAATTTGATCTCTGTTTTTGCACGGTGACTAAAAGAAATAGGCTTTGCCCTTTTTCCCCCCTTACTGATGTGTGCAGCTGATCCAAGTGGCTGCCCCCCAACACTCCTCCACTCCTGCTGTAGGGAGCAGCTGTCCCGGGCCTCATGTGCTCCAGAGTCCAGTCCAATTGTTCATCCCACTACTCCACTCCCTCTGCTGGCAGTGGCAGCACTGCTCCCCCAAGAGCCCAGCTGGAGGCAGCCGTGTGTGCCCAGGGCAGTGCCCAGGGTAGTGCCAGGCCCGTGCTCACCCCTCCTGGAGCTGCTCATTCCCAGACTCCTCGGCCACCAGGATCTCGTACTCCTCAGCCGCATACCTGTCCCAGTCTGAGGGCTCGGGGCTGTCGCTGTCCATGTCCTAAAGAGATCACACAGTCAGCCTCTAGGGTAGTAAGGAATGGATGGAAACAGCCAGGCAAAAATTGCCTTAACTGAGAAAGTCACAACCATCTTGGAGTGTTTTAATATCTGCACAGAAAGGACTATGAAAAAATACCTCTCAGGGTCAGTAAAGCTCAGCATGTGACCTGAGATGCCAACAAACTGCATCTGATCCACTTCAGAAATGCAACAACCACACACTTGCTGTGCCCTAACTCAGTCTGTGCACTGCATACAGGACAGAAGAACTCGGTGGTTTCAGATCTGTCCATCAAAGGTTAATTGTAACTGATCTTTTAAGGGACTCTACAGTTTGCTAAGTTAGAGCAAGTTTTAGAGAAGATTACAGGATAACACCTCTATAAATACCTGGCCCTCTGCCATTAACTACAGAATGGGGATAGTAAATTATCCCTCTGGTCCCACTTGACTGCTTTCATGATGATCCAGTTTAAACAAATAAACAAGCAAACAAAAAGGGTGGCTCTGTCTTGGGATGTATTTAAGCCTTGAATCACGGAGCCACAAGGTTTCTATTGGAGATTATGTGGGAACAACTGTGAGCTGGTTTTGGCATCCCCTCCACTTTTCTGTACTTTGAGCAGATAAAAGGCTTCTGGGAGACAATCAATAAGCTGTACTCGTGAAAAAAGTGTTCTTTTATTCAGCTGGATTTTCCCCACATCCAGGAGCACTCCAAAGATGAATGTGAGATTTCCTTATTTAGATATAAAGGTGATTTATACCTTTTGCACTGCAAAGGGATCCCTCTGTTCATTGTCCAGATACTTCTCTAAATTGAAGAAGGTGTTGAAGAACACATGAGCCATTCTGCACCTCTTCAGGTCTCGCAAGGTTACTCGTCCTACAGAAAAACCCCACATGGTTGTGTTACTGAGTTCTTACAAAAGTTTTAGTTGTAACACCAGTAGGCTTCAATAGCACAAAATTCCTTCCCAAGTCAGTCAAGGATTTTAACATTACTCAATAAATGGGTGTGTTTATTAAGCTTAAATCTCACATACATATGGAGGCCTTTGATGTTCATGTGAAATACAAAGGCATGGGAATGGGGATGGTTCCATTTTACAGTGTAGACTGTCAGCACATCCCACAGCTGGAGCACACAAGAATTGTTGCTTCAGTCCCAGGCACTTAATTCCTGAGCTCTCTTGTGTTAGATTTCAGATTTCCTGATGTACAATATCATGGCCCAATGTGCAGTAATTTCCACCCTGGGACTCACCAGGGCTCTGCCTGTAGATGGGTTTCACAGTAGCTTTACCTTCTCAATCCCTCAAAAATGAAAAGGGGTGAATGCTCTGCCTAAACAGAACTTACCTTCCCTCTCTGGCTTAACGAGGTCCAGCATCTGGCACAGCAGGTCCTGGAAGGGCAGTGGCTCTATGCCCATCACCTCCATGCGCTCACACTGCTCCTCATAGAAGTATTCCAGCTCGTACATGGAGAGCACCCCGTCCCCATCCAGGTCCATGCAGCGGAACCAGTACTCAATGCTGGGAACAGAGCAGGGACACTGCAGCACTGCCCTGGGACATCCACACAGCAGAGACTGCAGCAGTGTACATTCCCCCTACCCACCCACCAAGGCTCTTCTGCCACACCCTGGCATAAACCTAGGGATGACAAGACCTGTTGGGATGGGTCAGGGCACAGGCCAACACTTCAAGCACCTCCTGTTAGTCTCCCAGGTGGCTGCAAGCAGCACAGCCACACTCATCACCTGTCTCACCTGTACCCAGTGTTCAACTGTGCTGCAGCCCAAGGGGAGTTCACGTCAGGCAGGGAGTCCCTGTCTGACCCAGCAGCAAGAGTTGGCCAAATAGAGCCAGCTCTCAGTCCAGGACACTGCAGGGACCCTGGTGAGGGACAAGACAGCTGCCTCATGCCCTCATTTGCTCCCTTATACACAAGACAGTGCTCTCAGGCAGCTGCATTCTGCATCCCTCCTCCCATCTGGAGGGTCTAAGCCTGCAGTTCTGCATTCTTCTTCTCTTGTTATGTGCAAGATTCCTTGTGCTCACATGCACATCTGGACCACCCCTGCACAGCAGTCTCCCCCTGGCTGTACAAACCAGGCCACAGGCAGGTTTTACAAAGTGTCACAGTGAAGTTGCCCCACAAACCCTCCTTACACACCCAATCCACCTGTGAAGGGATGTGCCCAGCTGCTGCCAGCACCTCAGGAGTGTGTGCTCAGAGCCAGTGCCTTATAGCATGAGGTGATCAAAGGCACTGGTGACTACCAAGACATAAAAAATTACAAGAAAACTCTGCTTCTACACAATTTTTCCACAAGAATGGCAAATGATTTGACCAACCATGACCAGTAAGATGTTTTCTTCCTAACAAGCTCCAGACCCAAGTTGGTCTCTCTTGGAGAAAGTGGTAGGTCACAGAAGTTTCCATATCTTATTTTTTCATCTCAATGTTTTTACTGAGACACAGAAATCAGTCTCACCTTGTAGCACTCCTTTTGTCTTCCTCCGAAATCAGGAGCCACACAAAGTCTGCGTAACTCATGCGTCCTTCCTTTTGAACTTCAGTGCCTCTAGAAGACAGAGCAGAAAAAAAAATTTAAGATCACCAGGCCCCTAAATATTCAGGATGCCATCAAAGATATTTTTCAAATCATTAGTGAGAGAAAATGGGGCACTGTCACCTATTTAGCCTGTACTCCCTGCACCCTGCAGCACCAGGCACAGCATTTGCTGCCTTTTATCACTGCAGAGCTGAAGCTCATCTGCCACCTCCTCTCCCACAGCAGTCCCTTTTCAGAGACTTCAAAGCAGTGCTCTCCAGTTATCCCTGTGCCATGTCTTCCAGCTATGCCCAGTTATCCCATCCTATGGGATTTTAATTTTGTTTTCTTAAGATACCTAGAAGTCTCACTCCATGTTCAGCCAGCTCCACCTGGAGCACCCTGTTGGAAACCATCCTGACCTGGGGCATTGCTGAGAATAACTTGTATTTCTCAGCCTGACAGAAACTCCCTTCCCTTCTTTCCCCAAGCCACGTGCTATTCCTCACCTCACCACAGCACCGCTGAATATCCGCTCAATGATTCTGTTTGACAAAGCTGGAAACAAGCAAAACACAGAAAATGAAACTCACAGGAATAACTACAATCAGTTGTTCATGCTGAATCCACACAAAACCCTTTCTCATTGTTAAAAGAAGGCTCTAACCACACTGCCTGTCTAACCACCCTCTGTTTAGCAGCATTTTCTAAAACCCCAAGATGATTCCCCCAGTGCTCTGCCTTTGTATCCTTCCAAACACCACATTGTCCCACAAAGATAGCAACTGTTATCTGCAACCTTGGAAATAGGCATGTTACTCCTACTTTGCTGCAGTAGGGTCTGTCACATAGAAGAAGGAGACTATCCCAGTGTGTACTGCAAAAGAAGTTCAGTTATCAAGCAAAAATGACACATCAAATTCCTACAAAATGCTTTTGAGGAAAGGACAGGCTGTCGAAACCGTGCTACAGGGAAGGGAAGACAATGAAACACCAGCATAAAGGTGAGGCTCTGCCAGCCAGGAGAAATGTGGGACAGACTGTTATGGCAGAGCACAAGCCAAGCAGCAGGTACCAGTTCTGGGCAGGATTTGCACAGTGACCTCACCATCCCCGGCAGCCAAGCCCCACCTAGACTCCTCCTACACATTCTCCATCATTCCTGTGGTCCTGGCATGGTTCTGGCACTGCAGCCAGGCAGACCCAGCCTGCCCTACCCTCAGGTGCCCTGGCATAGCTGACAGGCTGCTGGGCACTGCACCCATGGCTTCTCCCCTTAATCCTTGGCTCCCCAGCACCTTAGGGATCTCAAGCCTCCTGTACAACAAATATTCTATTCCACACTGCAGCTTCCCAGCAGGGACCAATCTCCCATATCACCCATCCCAAGGGAGGCGCTTCTTCAGCCTCACAGAGTTAATTTTTATTCCATTATTTTATCTATGGCCCTTGAACCTTCAAAAACAAATAGCATCTGCTCAACTTCTAGAAAGGAAGTTCCATGCTGAACTGCAGAGATACTCTCCAGAATCCATCTGCAAGCTGAAATCCCCCAAGCTTCATTGGACTCTGGATTCCTCTCATGCATAATTAGATTGCACTTCAACAATCTCTGAAGTTCACACAGGGTCATCCTTCTTGTCCCTACTTCTAAGTTCCTGCAAAGCCCTCAGTAAATAATAAACAAGTTTCAGGACATTATTTTAGCCTGTCCTCCTGGCAGGGACCCACACATTAACAGAAGCTCCACCTGTAGCTACTCATGCAGAAAATAGTGTGTCCTGCAGCTTGTACAACTCCTTCTCTAAATCAATGTTTATTTAAGAGATGGGTGGCTACATTAAAACTTTTTCTCTGAGGTATCAAATCAACCAAATCAAAAGCAGGCTTCATTCTTCAGTAGGAACATTCTGTTTTCAGCAATGCCCTCACCCCATCACATTTGCAGGCAGCATACCTTGATCACTGTACCTAGCCAGGTCCTTCTGGCTGATGTAAAGGTCATGGTCAGTATCCAGCTCCCAGAATTTGCAGTATATAACATAAAAGTGCTCATAGGAGAAGTAATCTGTGATCTGATTTATGTCATCCTCTTCTTCCAAGAGAGCAAGAGTCTGAAAGAGTACAAATACAGTGGGAAATTAAACCTGGATGAAGAGGCAGCTCAACAGCTGAAGGGCTCCAGTTTCTCAGGAAGCTGGGTGAACACAGCCTTGAGAACTAACCCAAAGTGCAGCCTTTCCCCAAAAGATGTGGTTGCTGTATTCCTCAGCAGGTATTTACAGAGCACCTGGGTTGGCCATCCCGCTTAGCACAACATCTCTGCTACTCCTGTCAAGCAGTTTTGCTCATTTTCAGCTCTAGTGAAGAGTGAGGCAGAGAAACAGGAACACAGACTGCTGTGTCAGCTGGGATCCATGGTCTGGGAAACAATCCTGACCTGCACCAGAGACTCTGAGAGCCACTTCCAGCAGCAAATCCACAGATTTCCACAGGAACTGAGATATGTCTTTACACATCACACATCCCTGTCTGCCTCCTGAAGGGCAAACTCAAGTGTTGAACAAGACTCACACCTGCACTGGGACAGGTGGGATGGACCTCAAATTAATCACACTGACTTCCCTGTGCTGTTGCAGGAATCATTCTGGTTTAACTGGGAGGCTCAGACAGATGTCCAACCATAACACCTGTTGACATGTCTTACTAGGTAACATTTAGTGCTAACATCCATGTTTTCATGGATTCATGTTTCACTTTACCCCTCCCTGTCCTTCCCAGCAACAAGAGGGCATTGCATGTTTCCCACTGTCACCTCCCTACTTTTCTTCTTGGTGCTGAGGCCACGGGGCACCAGAAGCCTTCTTTTCTAATAAATCATGGCTCCAGTGAGCTGCAGGCCTGGCCTTCCCTGCTCTCACAGCCTCTCCCAAGGGAGCAGGCAAAACACAGCCCGAGCTATCCCAGGGAAAGGTGTCCCCAAGCAGGCAGGCACAGTGGCCCTGCTACCCATAAACCATAAAAACAGATGCTGTGTTATGTGTTGGCACTGGTATTTCAATATCAACTTCCAGCCACCTCCACATACAAGGAATTCAACTGAATCCAAACAAAACTCTCACAGCCTGCTATCCACCAGGTTCAGTGAAATTTCTGGCAGGGATAAGAGGGTGGCACTTCCAGACCTGCAGTATTCTGACTTGCTGACACCAAAGCCTCAACACCTTTGATCCATCACTCACTGGCCTCTCCAGACTGTGTGTGCCTCTCTCTCTCTATTTACAGATGACCATCACTTGGGGAGCTTTTGCCATAACTATTTTTTAATTTTGTAGCTCACACCCAAAGATGCGATTTACACATGCAGCAAGGAGTTGAAGTTCCCTGCTGCAGGAGATGAAAGGCAAAGTAGATATGGAAGGAGAAAAATAGAGTTTTTAAGGGGAGAAAATGAGTGAATAAAGATGCTGAATGATCTGGGGAGATTTATTTGTTTGGGAAGGAACAGGGATCCCAGGGCTTGGACTGGCATGAGCCAGTTCAAAGGAGCACTAATTTTTCCAGTAGCTGATGGGGTCAAGTAGGGGAGATGACATCTCAAAGGAGAAAGAAAGCAAATTCATACTTGAGGGGTTTGAGGAAGACAGCATACTACACCTGGAAGGGCAAACAGGACACAGGAGGGAAATGCCACTGTTTTAGCCAGTCCTTCACCTTTCAGCCTCAAGACTTTCTGGCTATTTAGACTGGGCTGGACATGAGCAGCCTGGGACAGTTTTAACCTGATGCTCTTTTGGGCAAAATACACAAGAAGACAGAGATCCAGATCATGACATAAGGACACACTGCAGGCACTGGAACAAGAACTAAGCTCTATTCATTATCCTGTGGAGATCAGCTCCCGAGGTGCCTCGTCCTGCAATTGCAGAGATGTTCCTGACCAGCTGTCAGTGGGCTGAGGGCTGCCTAGGAGACAGGAAATTGGCTCTCCTACCCCTGGCACTCCTGCAGCTCTTCTTGGCTGCTTGTGAGCCACTTCACATGGGAGCAATGCTGTGTCCTGCTTCCCTTCCTGCTGTCAGGACCAGGAGCCAGGCTGCTGCTCCTTGTGGCCTCAGAGTTGGAGCACCCTCACGCCCTGACCTTCTCTCACTGCCCTGGGGCCACTTCTGTCCCTGCTCTTCTCACCTCAACTCAGACACAGCTCCTCCAGTAGCCCCAGCAGACTCCTGGCAGTGAGCACCTGGCTCATCCCACTGCAGCCCAGGTACAGCTCCCTCACCACGCAGCCACAGGAACAAGGAATGCTGCACTCTAGACCTTGTTCCCACAGAAACCCACGTACTTGCAGGAAGTTGCTTTTCCTCAGCTCTGTTAGAGTGATCTTCCCCGACCAGGATCGATTGACTGTGTAGAATATCCTCTGTATAACCTGCAACATATGAACAGTGCTTTTGAAATCAACTCTGAAACACAGCAGATTGGGAATTTTAATGCAGTACCTTGGTTTATTCACTCATCTTAAGGAGACCTCTTTTGAACATGTTTCATGATTTTTCTGTAATACTACTATCTTTAACTGACTACACAGTCTGAAAGCAACATTTGCTTCTTAAACAGTATTACCCCTTTCTAGTCTGAAAACATTTTCACTGCTCTAAATTCAGCTCTTTGGGCATGCAGATGTATTATTTATGTCAGGGAACATGTTCAAAGTGCTGCTGAATCACTTTGAGTTTTTCACATTTAAGGGGACATAGTTTGCATGGATTCCAAATGAAATAGGGTTATAGGGTGAAAAAAAAAAGAGAGAAAAAAAAGAAGAAAGAACTTCTAACTCTTCTGGTTCCTGCAGAGGAAGCAAGACATGTAAATGAAAGGCACAGTTAATGTCTGACCCACTGTAACTATAACAATGCCTCTATTGCCTGTAACAATGTTCCCAGTGCCTCTGCTGAAAGCAAGCAGGAGAGGTTCTGTTTGCAATTATTTTGGGCAGGTGTTAACCTCATTTGCCTCCTTTCCAGATCTGCCTCTGGTGAAAGCGAGCAAAAATCATGGGGGAGAGGCACAGAACCCTCAGAAGCCAAAAACGGCTCCCAGTGTGAGACTGAGCTCACTCCCAAGCTCCTCAAAAAGCATACAGCCCTTCCCAATCTGCTCCTTGTCAGTTGTCAAGTTTCATCACAGAGTGGGGAAAACAAATGTGTGACCAAGCACATGCAATAAACCTAACAGGGCACACAACAACAAATAAACAGCACTGGCATGAGAAAGGAGGAATAGAATTAATTTGACTATCAACACTGAAATCTTGTGGACCAAACCTACTACAAACCTTTGATGTCTCTGACATGTTTGCACATTACCCCAGAATTTTGGTGAACTTTAGTGCACGCTATTCCAACACAAAAATTAACTTTACACAACAGTGTGGACATTATGGGAATTAATCCAGCTAGCAGATACAATGGGATGGATTTCTCTTTTAGCCAGAACTAGTTTCAAGTGGGCAACCACTACTGAAGGGCCATCTTTGGACTCAGTCAAACAAGTGCTGGTTCTTAGTCCAGAACAGATCCAGAACCAAGTATGAGATTGCTCCCAACAGTGTGCTTTGGGATACACAGTGAGACAGTAATTGATGACGGCACACACAACTCTGAGAGCAACAAGAATAATGTGAGGATTCAAATGTACCCTGAAGAGAGAGCATTGATAGATTCAGCTTAGCTGAACATGACACCTTTTGGTGACACTGCAGGCCCTTCATCACTCCAAGCCTAAAAGGTGGATATCCTTTTAAAGCTAGGTGTCATTTTAATTAAAAACAGACAAAAAAACAGATCTATCCTAACTGTAGCAACCACTGAGCAATGTTCTGTGGCCTGTGTAGCACAAGAGGTCAGACTAGGTAATCACAATGATCCTTTCTGGTCTTAAGCACAATGTTTGTTTCTTCTTTCATGCCTCTGGCAGCCACTGCCATTCTGGTCTCTGTTTCTGGACTTTGTTTGGCTTTGTCAACTTGCACAAGAGCTCAGAAACTGGAGTGGTCTCACCTCACACATCACCCATTATCACACCTAACAACTTTGTAGCAACTCTCAACAATACAGGGTGTTCACACCATTCCAAGGACTCAAAAATAGCAATCCCAAGAATCAGAAACAGGACTCCATACCAGTAATTCTTCTTTTCCTCTGCCTGCAGGGTAGTAAAACCAACTATTCCCATTTGTGACAGAAACTGTTTGTCTACCAGACCACATTGATAAAGATGTTCCATCTCCTCACATATTTGTAAAAATAAGCCATTCAGAGGTAAAATGGGATCTCTTTTCATGTCTCTTACCATGTCCAGTCACTCAGTGAAGGCTTTATTATTCAAATAATGGCCCATATTTTTCCCTGGGCCAGTACATAGTATATATCTCACTATTAAATCTCAGTACTTCTCTTTTTCTTTTCAAGGTTGTAAACACCAAGCTGTCAAAAAAACCATTTGGGAAACATCCTAGAGCATCATTACCCAGCCTGAGATGATGCGCAGCATGCAAGTCACACTTGTCTCTTAGGCCATAACTGGTTTCATTTGTCTGAGTTCAGTACACAACCATAGACTCAGACTCTATCTTGAGTTGGAAGAGGGCACAAGAATCATGGAATCAAATTCTTAATTAGCCTTTGGAAAGAGGAGCCTCTTTCTACTTGCCCATTATCTCATGTAATTGACTTCCAGGCCCAAACCATTCATAGACGTGTTCCAGACCTTTCCCCAATCTTCCCACAGAAGAACAAAAGCAATACCATTTCTGGACAAAACAGGAACCTTTATTAATCCCTGTGGCCATTGTCCCGTTACACATTTCCATTGGTGCTACTGTATAAACTCAAGTACTTTTCCACAAGCTTTAATCCTTGAATTGTTTTTAGCTCAAAGCTTTCCAAGAGCAGCATGCACTGCTAACTCTGAGCCTGGTTTGAAAACTCGGGTAGAAGTCACACTAAAGCTTTACAACAAATGCCACAGGACATTCTGTGATGTTCTGCATCATCTTCACCAGCTTTTGTCTCTGTTGAAACAAACACAACTGGTTTAGTAATACAGTGACCAATAAAACAGATATGATACAGATAAAATTCCAGCTTGTTGTGTCCAAAAAGCCCCTTTAAGAGGTTCTGAGGTGGCAGTAAGAACTGAAATGTGCATTCACATCTTACCCATCCTAGACTGTGAGGTCATTCTCCAGGAGATTTCAGCCAAGTCATGCTGTACCCAGCAATGAACACAAAGCCATGTGTCTTTATGGCCCTTGTCTGTAACACAAACATGAACTGTAATTCTTGTGAGGCAGCAAATACAGCAATCTGTCTCTGTAAGGAGGTATAAGGCACTCTACCTTGAAACAATGAAAATGATCCAAGTGGTCTCAAAATCCAAGGATAAAGCTGTTTCCTTCATTGCCTTCTGGTGAAAATACTGGATTTTGTAACATTAAAGAGGGATGTGCTGTCTGTGAAAGGAGAGGTGAGCAATAGGAACTCCTGCTATCAGAGAGCACAGCCACTGCTGCAGAGGACCGAGTGCTGCCCCTCTAGACGGGCACAGCCTGCCCAGCAGCCTCCTGCCTCCACAGGAGGAGGGGGATTCTGCTGCTTCTGCTCCAGCCCAGGGGCATTCTGCTGTCGGCACAGGCCCCCAGAGCTGTCCTGAGAGCTGAAAGGCAGCTCACCTTTGTCAGGTGTGCTGCTCCACAGCTCTTTCCTCAGCTACAGGCACCATCATTCCCTGCTGCCTTTGGAGCAAGCCTTGGAATCCACCTCTGTCCCAGCACTGCCAGTAAAGGATGCCCAAAGGCTCTGACTGCAGCAGAAAAGCACGGCAGACATACAAGCAGGATCAAGAAGCTCTGAGGAACTTCATGTACTTATGCAAGTCTGGTTCTGCGACTGCTTTGGCGACAGAGCACCAAGACCAGGCACCAGGGAAGTGGCGCAAAAGGAGAGAGGAAGGAAAAGATGCTGCCCTTTAATAGCAGCCTGCACTTCAGTTATCTGGAAGTTCAGCTTCACACAGTTGGCCTCAGCCACACCATGCAGTGCCCCTGGTGAGTCCAGAGGGCAGCAAGGGTGATCATGTGAGGAATTACTCTACAAAGACATTTGTTTTTTGCCTGAAAAATACAGGAACAGTGTGTGGCTTAAGAAGAACCCATAAAAGCAGATGCAGAGGATTGCCTTTGTCAGCAGCCAAGGCAACCACACATGGCATTGACCTGTGGATATTGTAGTCAGAAACCAACCCTAGTGTGACCTTAAACCTTTCAATCTCACTCTTCCATGCACTTGAAACAGAAAATACCGGGGTGCACATGCCACAGGGACTTTTCCACATTCACCCATTCATGTGCCTCCGTAATTACCTGGCCATTCCTATACCTGTTGTGGCTTAATGTTTATGTTGTCTTGCTCCACAGGGACTAAACATTGATTATACACTGCTGTTCACTATCGTGTTCAAATACATCTAAAACATTTAGAATGGATTCTCATTATGTATTTTCATTAGTGTGACAGTTCAGGGTTTGCCCTGAAGAAGTGTCTTTGTGCCATCTGCTCCTTACAGGAAAGGAACAAGCATGTTTGTGCCAGGAGCCTCCCAGCTGCCTCCCAGCCCCAGGCAGGCCCTGGCAAATGAACAGGAGAAACTTTAAGCCCTGAGCCATATTGGAATGCAGCTCCCACCAGGTCTGTCATTATTTGAATTTGCTACTGCTGCAGAGATAAAACTTCCCAACATTTATACCTTTTATCCAGATTCACAAGCAACATGAGTCAAGCTCAAGGCTTAAAAAACCTGCTAACACACTTAGGTAAAGTACCAGCCTAAGTACTGACTGCTGAGCTGGAACAAAGCTACTGAAACAAACCCCAGCCACAAGCCCAGTTACAAAAGCTTGGGGAGAGAGAGCCTGGACAGGCGTCCTGGCAAAAGAAAGGTCGGACAGCAGACTCCTGGAGGCAAAGAGCACTTTGTACTGAGCAAAGCCTCAATGACAGAAAACTTCAAACAGGCAGCCTTCCATGTCTCAGCAGCCCAGCACAATTCAGGGTGACTTAGCAGCTCCCAAAGACCAAAGAACTTATTTTCCATTCATCAGGCCAAAAAAGATTTTCATAGGTATGCTTAAGACCAGAAACAACCACTATTAACCTTTGGAATAACCCCTTGCACACACAAGCAGATTACTTTTCTTTTGGAAGCAGTTGTTAAAATACCTCATGGTCAGTAATATCAAAAACACTTATATTTTTAATTAACTGAAGGATTTGCTGGTAGGAACAGTGACAGATCCCAAAGGGAGGCAGAAGCATCACAGGGGATCAAACAGGCAGCCTACCGTTGTAATATACCGGGAATGGAACTCCGGAGCATCCTTCAGGAACGTGAGGCCAGGATGTGTTTCCACCACATCCTGCAAGGTAAGAGAAAATGAAATGAAATAGATTTTCTTCTCCTTTTAATCTTTAGAACTTACTGGGTTTACAAACCAATTATTTTTGGTTACTCTTGCAACTATTTGCAGCATTAACAATAAAACTGCAATCTTTTTATCTATCAAGTCAACCTTCTATTACAGTAATATAATGCATTTGCTGGGCAATACGCACCTGGTGGGCCAGTTTGATTTACTTAAGGACAGAAAAACAAAGGAAGAGAGTTAGTGAGTAGATGAAAACTCATTTTCATTGAACGAGACAAAAATTAATTAGTTGACCATGCAACTATCTTCTCTCCAAGATTTTTGTTTTCCTCCATTCATTGAAGACATTAACATTTTTAAGAACTAGGTGTCAGAAATAAACATTCCTTGAGAAAGACTCCTGTGTCCAGTGAAAGCTCTGTGAGCCTCAGAATGCTTACAGATACAGTTAGTGCTTTTCCAAAATTCACTTGGACTATGTGTGGAGAGGCCTCTTTCTCAAGACCAGCTTTTTGTAAGTCAAACACTGGCTCACAATGCCAAATCTGCATGATCAAATCCATGGAGAAACTGCTCAGATCCTGAATGAATCAGTTCAGATCCTGTATGAATCAATGCCTGTGTAATTTCTCCATGTCTGACTCCTCTACCCTTTAAAGGTGTTCCAAGTTCTGCCATTCCATGCCATGGTGCCCTCAGGGGTGTGACATGCCCAAATTTTGGGTACTATAACAGGATGTCTCAGATGGTGGCATAAATCAGGGTAATTTTGCTGATCTCTGGCTGACTGACAGACAGGACTGTGCATGCCTTGGATTGCACCAGGAACTGAAGAGCAGATCTGCAATCCACCAGGAAAGGCAGTGTGCCCAGTGGAGAAGAGATGAAGAGCAACATGAGAAAATTTACTCATCACAGCCCCAATTCTGTTTGAGAGACAGAAACAGCCAGCGCAGACACAAAATCTTTCCCCAAAGCAGCATCTCCACAGAAGTTTTACCCAGAGGGCAACACAGTGTGAGAAATCTAGGGATGTGTGGAAAAGATCAGAAAAAGTGCAATAGCTGATCAGAGGAGCAGACGGACATGATTTACAGACACTATAGAGAAGCCCTAAGGCTACCCAGAACCTGCCTAAATGGCCACAAATAATTAAAACAACCATACTTTATTAAAAATTAATGGAAGGGAAAGAAAGACATGAAATGAGGATGTGTAGATTTAGCCTGAATATTAGGAAAAAAATATAAGCAGTGAGATTTGTGCATCATCAAGTTTAGAGACATATACAGAACAACTGGAACTGCAGAAATTTTGCCAAGATTTCCATGTGATACTATATCTGGTAGTTTGGCTAGACAAATTCAATTATAACTGTCTTGCCAAGCAACTTTTATAACTTTTCCAATAAGCTTTTATATTGTGCTTGACTATCAACAGCAACAAGCAAAATTTTTCCCAATATCCATAGAGAGAAATGGGTTTAATTCCAGCCTGGTTACCAGGCACTGATAAATATGAATCCTGGCAAGAGACCAGTCCTCAGTGCCTTTAGCAGCTGGTTTGACACTTAAGCACTTACAAAATTTATTTCTATTTCTCTCCAAAATGAACTCCACCTAGATGCTGCTCAAACCAAAGGTCTTCTTGTCCTTGGTAAACATTTAATGCCATGGAAATAAAGAAGGTGCCAAGTGACCATAGCTCTGTGCCCACCATCCCTGTGGAGCTGCGGCAGTACCTGGAGCAGTGGGATGAAGTCCTCCTGTTGTAGGCAGTCACAGCCAGGCTTTGCCAGAAGGGAAGTGAACCTGGAGGCATCGTCGTGGCAGTTCCGCAGGATTCTGCAGGAGAAGGGAGGAGTTACTCCCAGCCCTTCGCACCTCCCAGCCTGCCAGGTGTCCCAGGAGGGTCACAAAGATCTTACAGCACGATACACTTGTGCTGGGACTACCAGCACTTCCTTTAGAGTCTTTCAGCTGCACCAGGGCACACAGAGGGGATTTTTTGCAGGTTAACACTGCTGTGGTAAAGCAAGTTTCTTACTAAGCACCTGTGGAATCAAAGCAACCTGACTCTTGCCAATGCTGCAGGCTCACTCCAAGAGAACAGCACCAACCCAATGGGATGCCACAGGATGTGCTCTTCAATGGAACCCTTCGCTACACTGCAATATTTGGGGAGATTGCCAAACTACAGGGACTGAATATTCACCCAGAAAAATCACTTTTCAGATGGAAAAAGGGCATGCCCTGTTAATTATAGCCCATCTGGAGCTGTGCACCAAAGCCACAGAGAACAGCCTAATGAAGGCATTAGCAGGACTGAGTATTTGGAGAAGTGTGTAAACTCAGTCCCCTTTGGTTGGCAGCATGCATCTGACACACCAGTTCTTGTCTCTGTTTTCTTCTCACACAAAATACTGCACTGGCCAAAGGCATCACAGGTATGTGATTTGCTCCAGAGAAATTCATGAAGAGAGGAACTCCATGCCATTTACCAAACGCTGCTAACAGAACACAACATTTGGACTTATCAAACACTATGTTGTTCACATAGTATTAGGGAAACTCAGAAAACTACACTGTTTTCTTCATTTAGTGTAAAAATACAAATGCACTGTGATCATTTGTTGTGAGTGATTATTCACCACTTTCCTCTCCTGAAAGTGTATGAACATAGTACTGAACTGGCTGTAGTTCTCCAGCAGAGATCACACTAACTTGTTTCCTGCTAATTCTGGCATCATCACCCTGGGAAAGCCAGACTTGACAAAAAAAAAGAAAAGAAAAGGTCCTTTTAAATAAGCAAAAAAAAAAAAATTTAAAAATTCTGTTGGCTGCACATTCATCTAATAGTAGCTGTCAATTAACAGATATATTCTACATCAGCTGCAGAAAGAGGAGCTAATGTTTCACCTTAAAAAAAATCTGGCACATAAAGATGAATCCCAAAGCCCTGTTTTAGCCAAAACCAGGATCTGACATTCAGAAGTGTTTTATATTGAGCAATTGCTATAGACTTGAGAAGCAGTGAGCATGTGACATTTTGAGAAGTCAGTCATCTAGTAAAGAAACTGAAAATAGGCTTCAGCAACTAGAGATACCTGGTTTAAATTTACACCTGTGTTCACATAGCTGCAGTTGAACTTTACCAGAAATACCACATTTCTTTTTTTCAGCTTTCCAGCAAAGATTTTCAAACTGTCAGAGGGGAAAAGGAAGGTATAAAAAAATACTATCTTTCTAAAAGAGCAATTAAGTAAGAAAAGCATACAAAGCTTGGCTTGGAAATGGGGTAGTTAAAAGGATACAGAAGAGGGACATGACCACAGTCTGTAAATATCTGAAGGATGTGAAAGTCAGAGAAGTGAAAATGTGGTATCATACATTAGGGATTAATTAGAAGTAATTGGAGGAACCTAAGGAAGGAAAATATATTGTCTGTGTCAAGACAAACTTAGAGATCACAGTCACCCCTAACATTTTTGTAATTTTGCCAGGGTAACTAGAAGCTGCTTTGACACCATTGTCACAGGAAATACTTTGAGAATTCAGGGTTAAAGGCTACATCAAGAATCTGAAGAGCAATCGTTAACTAAAAAATTAAAACTCTCTCTGGAGAGGAGATGGAGACGCTGTTCAGGTGTTTCACAAAGTACACTAAAGCCTGAATTGTCCTGGAGGGAAAAAGATTAGGCAAGAGACCAAGTCTGCTCCACGTCAGAGCTGACTCCAAGCACAATGCATCCATCCAGAGCTCTCCATTTCCACAGTATGGACTGTCAAACCCCACAGGTGAACTCAACAGCTTACTTGGGGAAGGCAGTAACTAGTAACGCACCCAGAGTACCCAGTTGTACGATGATGCTTATTTCCACATTCCTCTTTATGTCCTGTAACTATCACACACCTCTCCCAGTTCCCAAATGGCACTTGGCTTAGTGCCAGGGTAAAGCAATAAGGCTGGGCACAAATATACCCCAAACCCACAGACAACTACCAACTATCTCAGAATAGCTAACATTTCTGGGGAGCTTGTAAATATATTTTATACACTAACTAACTCAAAACATCTTACTATCTATACAATTACTTCCAAGTTTGTGGATGTCACATGGAAACAAGTGTTCAGAGAGTTTGGGGGGAAAAAAATCTTAAGCTGATGGAGATTTTTAATCTGCTTAAAGAAGAGAAAAATGATTTGAAAAGCTTGGAGGAAAAGAAGGAAAAAAAAAAAAAAATACTCGTATGGCAGGTTGATCTCTTCTTCCAGAAATAGAGCTTTGCATTTGCTATACTCACTTTCTCCACATGGAAACGAAAGAGTGCACAGAGACACGTCCTGTCCTCTCTCCCCCTGATGCACTGAACAGAGGTGCTTTCCAGTAGAGTGGGCAGCCACATATCTGTAAGGAAAAACCAGGGCAAGGAGGAATATAAAAGCAGTCCCAAGGAGAACCTGCTTGTTTACACACCAGATTCACTACTGAGACTTTACATAAGGGAAACAAAATGGTAATGGTTTTCTGACTCACCTGTGTGCCATTTACTGCATGCCAAGGTTGAGAATTCACACATAACTTTCTACTTTGTCATGTACCTTTTCAAGTGGCTGAGAAACACATCCTCTCAGGCTAGGAAAAGGATGTGGACTACTCAAGCTCTTAAGCTTTGTCTGAACTGTTTAGCACAATTCCCTAGGAAGTGGAATGGAGAGACAGGCACCTCCTTGCAGGACACTCACACCAGCTACATCATCCACCCACTCTAAAAGAGGAGGGCCCATTCTCATATGGCAGGGATGTTCTCTCACAGGCAGCAAGGGAACCTCAAGTCTAATTACAGACAATTAATGAGTAAATGCCTAAAGGTGAAGTAAACCTCATCCTGCAATTTTCAGTGCAGTGCCTTCCACTCAGCACAGTCCATTCTTTCCAACACTGCAAGGTCTCAGCAGGGGAACACAAAAATTAAAGCACACATGGAAAGAGAATGATTCCAGCCAAAGGACTCCCTGACCAGCACTTTTGAACCAGCCTCTGCAGAAGCTGCTGGCTCTCAATGGCAGTCCATGGAAGTGCTGGCATTGTGGACTGTCTGAGGCCTTGGTAAAGCAAGGCTTGGCTTGGAAATGGTGTCAAACATTCAGCTGCTCACATTGTCAAGCACCTCCTCTTTACCACAAAGACCTTTCCAGCCACTGTCCTAACTCCAGACAAGTTATCCACAAAACACTGGCTTCGGAGGGAGTGCAGCTGACTCAAGCCAGATTCTTGCAAGAAGGATGTTAGGAAGCAGGAATGTTTTGAAGCAGTTGAGGCATCATTTCTGCCACAAAGCCTCTTTCACCTCTCCTGTTAAGCAGGACTATCCTGCAAGTCCATCCTCATCCCTTTGTCCACACCTGCACATTTCTTTGGGAATCTTAATCAGCCCAAGAGCTGCTTTTGGATTTATTCATTTCTATGTCAGGTAGCTGTGTCTCTACAGGTGTTTGGCTCCTCTGAAGAAAGAATGATGTTTATTTTTTGTTGTTTTCTTTGTGTAGCTGGTTTTGAAGCATTTATTTCAGAGCTCCAAATGGCACCTTTGACAATAATCCCACTGAACAGAACCCAGCATCACAATAAGTAAGTGGCAGGGAGCACATCCGTGTAGAGACCAGATGGAAATGCAGAAGTTTCTTCTGTATCACCCTCTTCCTTTTCCCTATTCAAACTTTTTCTGATCAAGCAAAGAAGATTTCCTATTCATATTTTCAGAGCAGGTTTACAAATAATGAGACTGTATTCCTTTAAAAACAAAGAAAACCAACTAGTGTCTCCTTTCAGGAAAGCTTCCTTCTTGCAAAACAAGTGCTGCTCTTGGAGAGAGCATAATTGCTCAGTTTACAGTGCCAGAGACTCATTCAGGGCAAGCTGATCATCCAGGATGTGTCTGATAAATGCTGGTTTTAGATCAGCAGCACTGCAAACTGCAGCTGAAGGAGAGGGAAATAGAAGAGACCATGTGCAGTACGCTCCCACACAAGTGCTGTGTGCTGTCCCCTGAGGGCAGAACTCATCACCAGCTGTACCACCTGCCCTGTGGATACTGAGCTTGCATGGCTCAGGGGCTGGGGGCTGACTGGACATTTCCCCCTTCCACATCCAGGGAGCTGGAGGCTGGAAGCTGCTTCCTCACACAACACTGCAATAGCAATGCAGCTATATAGCATGACCTACAGCTCATGCTAGCTGAGCAGGACATCTACAAAAAGCCACAAAAAGGGCAGCTGATACTACCTGAAGCCAAAGAGGCAGACAAGTTTCTGCTTTGAGCTTCTCAATCTTCTGGGCAGAAATATGAAGGAATAAATAAATATGCAATTTGTATTTACTAAGAAATCTTAGAGAACTGCTTCATAAATCAAAGCAAGAACAAACACACACATCTGATGTGACAATCAGCAAACTGAGCTCATTTTTGTTTACTATTATCTAAATCTAAACAGAAAACTTCAGATCAAAGGGATAATAGTTCTTTTTTTTGCCCTGCAACAGCTGTGAGATAGACTGAAACTAAAACAAAGTATCTCTCCCAAAATTAAAAACCTAAAGAATAGAATCATAGAACCATTAAGGTTGGAAAAGATCTCCAAGACCATCAGTGGTTACCTTAGCAATTTTCCCCATTTCACAGATGTTTGCTTTTTCATCTTCAAACTCTGTAAAGGCCTCTTCAATCCTGGCAATGATTTCTTCATGGTTAGTGCAGACATTTGGGAGTCCTTTAGGGAAGTAGAAACGTGGAATGTTTATGGGCACAGGGGTACTGCTGGTGGGTTTATTCACAGGCAGAGGAGTGTAAGTGCTAACCACAGGCTGCAGGGGGGCTGGGGATGAAGTTCCTGCCTTCTTCTCTTGTTTACTTTGAGCCTGAAAATACAATGAATAACAAACACATTTTAAAATCATGGTACACAGAGCAGGAAAAAATAGTTTGTGCTTCCAGTAATTAGGAGAAAATTAAAGCCCACCAACAATTAAATCATGGCATGGGGATAAAAATGCACCTTAAATAGGCAATTAAAATTTTCTGCATTATGAACCAGTGTGAATTTAGGATGGGCCACACCTGCTTTTATGCCATCTCTGAGCATTTTACATATATAGCTGTGGATCATGATTTCCTACTGAGTCACAGGAGAACACACTGCAACTCAGTGTGTTCCACTGACCACAGACAAGAACAATGCTTTTTCTTCTCATGCTGGTCTTGGTCTTGTCATTCTGCCCCATGAACAACAAAGTATCTGCTCTTTAGTATTTCCCCTCTGAACCAGAGCACCCACCCACACAAACGGCTTGCCTAAAGTATGTGCAAGCTTACATTCAAACAAGGACATTATCTATCCCTTGGGCACATAATTAGTTTTGCCAAAGCACTGCTTCAGAGATAAATTAAGAAAAGATTTTCAAGACTTCCTTCTCAATTTCAGCAAGTCTTTTATTCTGTGCCCAGCTTAAACAGTCCCAGACCTAATTTTGTCAAAGGTACTAAGCGCTGGTAAATCAATTTTTCCATCAGGAATTAGGAGCAGCCAGCAGAGTGTCATTAGGCACTCACATGATGTCTTTTCCTCATTACTGTCGGAAACAAACATATGGCTGATCTGCTGATCCCCACTGGATCCCTTCTCCAAGTAACTACAGTATAAGCTGCAAAATCAGCTGCTGGAATATGGAGGGATGAGGAATTCCCTGCTCCCCCACAGAGACACTCCTTGGGAAAAGGCAACAGGCTTTCCCACTGCACAATGGTTCCAATGCAAGAGTTCTATTAATGTAACAACATATGTGATAAGGCTCAGAAGGCAACAGTCAAGTAAATACAGCTGCGACTTTCAGTTTGTTTATTCTAACTATGAAATAAAAAATGGTTTCAGGATAAAGCAGCCAAGTCTGAGTCCACTAAATGCAGAAGAATGTATATGATGAACTGACTTTGCCTCATTATTTTCTGTAAACTTGGAGCTTTTTTCTCAACACATACTGCATCTCCCAACTAGCCACAGATTTGCTTTCAATAAGGTAAAGAGGTAAGAACTGTAAAAACTTCTTTAAGCACTACTTTTACCTGCAGTTTATAATACTTTATAACCCATTCATCAGAGACCCATGAAAGAAGAAAGAGAGAAGGATTTTCCTCCTCTTTATTCCTCTGCTTCATGGCTTTTTTTTTAAATGGGACGACCTCTTTCTTCTCCCAAATGCTGTCCCATTTCAGGACAGGAGAAGGGGGTCAGCTCTGAGGCTCAGGGAGTTCCTGGACTCACGAGCACTGGAGAAGAGTGAGCATCAGCCACAGTCACTCTGTCCCGCAGTAGGACAACGAAGGTGATCTGAGGTGGTCGCAGAGATTAAGCTGGGGAGAGCTGGACACTTACTCTGAGAGCACAGTTGACTGGGTTAAATAAAAGACAATCCTTCTCCTGGCTTCTTTCCTCAGCAGAGCACCAAAAGCGAAGCCCGCACCGAGTGAATGTGTATAGGGAGGGAGCAGCTGGCCCCAGCTCAGGGATCACACAAATCACCACTTCTGCTTTTACCACCCGCTCTCACCCTGCCTGTCCTGCCCAGCCAGGGGCTTCTCCAGCCAGGACATAGCTCTGCTCAGGAGATTTTCCTTTCTGGATCCCAGCAGAGGGGAAGTTCCTGCCAGTCTCTCACAACACCATATTCATACAAACAATGCAAAGCTGGAAAACGTCGAGGTGCCAACTGCAGCCACTTGACTTCTATAATAAGACTTCACATCAGTTTGCTCGAAGGCCACTTCTCACAAACAAGTTTATTGCTCCCTAATCTCTTCAGGATACGCAGGCCAACACCAGGAGGAACAAAGAGAAATGACTCAAACTTAACAAAAAGTTCCACTAACCAAGATTTCTTTCAAAGGACACTGACTCTTCATTGTAACAATCCATCCCCTTCCCCTACAGTACAAGGGAATAATAAAATTGTCTTTTTGTCCACCACCCAAAAACCTGAGCAACTCTTCTGCCTCCAGGTACTCCCAGAGCCAGCAATGCTTGGTACCAGCTCACACAAGTCAGGACCACAGAGGATGTATGAATTTCCTGATTCACATCCACCACACAAGCCAGAAGGTCAGATAGCTCCAGGAGAAATACAGGGAATTCTGCAGGGATTTGAAGGAGGGGGCCTGTTTGGACACACGTTCCCAAGTGACCTTCCCAGTAAGTCTGACTCACTCACTCCTGCTCAGGGATAGCTGCTTTTCACATTCTGCCTCAGGAATAGAAATACAATTTTTGAACTTTGTCTTCTTCATCCTCTTAGAAGAAAGGAGCTATTTATGACAAAGAGAAAAAAGCAGCAACTAGTCCTTGAGGTTTTTGTTCCCTAGAACAACATTACAAATTAATACTCTGGGATGGCTATAATCAGATGCAAACCACGATGGACACAAGAAGAAGTTGCAATTACAACTTACTGTGAAAAAAAATTTAAGAAAGAGGTATGAGAGGAAATTCTGTGGAAATTCCTTGTAAATAAACAGTTTCTTATTGCAAAAAATTAGCCTTAAATGCTGCTTGCCTAGCAGAACACACTTCTCCAAGAGGGATGTGCATTTTCAAAGAGGACAACTAAGAAAGGACATGACAAATAGTCTAAGAAATCTTTTAGCTTTATCACAATCATTAACTGATAAACTTTTTTCTTTTTTTTGTTCAAGAGAAAAGGTGAGATTAAAGGCCATTTTTAAATACCACTCTAGCATTCTGTAATTTACCCTAACAAAAATCCATCCATCCACTATATCACCTTTTGCCAGCCATATAATTTATTTACAGGCAGACAAAAATAGTGACATCTGTGTTATAAATAAACCAGACAGAACTACAGCCTCATTGTAGCTACACAAACAAAGCACAGACTAAACTTCTGCCATCCCAGCCTGTCTCCCTGGGATGTGCCAGTCCCAGCAGAAAACTCTATGGAAGGAAGCAGTATCAACATCAAGTGCTCAAATTCTTTCTACTCCTTCCTCCTGGTCCCAGGCTCCAACAGGGTACTAGGTAATATATTTACCAGTTTCTTGCTTTATTTCCAAATGGGATATTGTAATCCTCTTTTCTAGGGTACAGTGACTCAGCCTGGGTTCTCGCAGTCCACAGTGCTGACTTAATGTCTCCTTTCATTTTTCAGAGTTCCTGCCTTCCTGAAGTCTGATGGTACCTGGCCACAAGCCATCCTCAAAGCTCATCAGTTCTCCAGCACTGGTTTGTATCTATCGCCCAAGACTTGCCCTCCCTGAAGTCCTTTCCCATCAACAAACCTTCTGCTGCCTCTTTCTTACCCATTTCTAAGGAAAGCAATCAAAGGCTCATCTGCACATGGCTCCAGACATCACAGACCTATGAGAAAATGCATTTCTGGAGAGAATATTTTCTTTTAGGCAGCAAACTCACTAGCAGAAACAAAGTCCAGTCACAGCAAAACAAAAATGAAAACAAACTCTACCTAAGCAACTGAAAAACCCAAAAGGATTTAGGTAGGAGTAGACACAGTGCTAATTGTAAAGTTGGATCACGTCCCTCATGGCCTTATCCAGTTGAGCTTTGCAAACAGAAGCCTCCCATGCCTCCACTGACAAGTGTGCCTATAGATCTTGGACACAGCTACCAGCACCAGTTTAGGCTGGGAACCCACTGGCTGAGCAAGAGCCCTGCAGAAAAGGGCTGGTGGAGGGGATGGTGTGCACAGGCTGAGCATGAGCCTGCAGTGAGAGCTGACTACAAATAAGGCAAATGACGTCCTGGACTGCCTTAGGAGCAAGGCCAGGAAAACATGGGAAGTTGTTATCTATGTTTGACATTGGTCGGGCTGCATCTGCGTTCCTGGGACCAGTTTAGGGCCTTCCCTTCAAAAAAGTGATGGGAACAGACCATTCAGAGATGTAAAGGAAGGAAATCAGAAAGCTGGGATCAGGATCAGGCAGGAGGAGACACTGAGGGTTGGCCCTGGATAGCGAGGGGAAGGCAAGGGATGGGCTAAATACAGCCTGCAGCTCTTGGAAGTGCAGTTACAGTGACAATGGAACCAAACTGTAGCTTGGGAGGGATAGGCTGGAGGACACTGAGGGAAGTAGAGCCTGTGAGAGGTCACCAAGAGAGGCTGGGCAAATCCCTGTCCTTGGGGAAAGCCAGTGCTGATGTGACCCAGTGTTAGAAATAGAATTCCAACAAGTGAGATGTTGGATTAGAGACCTCCCTTCCTCCCAGCACTGCTATGGGAGGCTCTCCGATCTGTCCATAAATAGTCTTGCAAAGGATAAGCATAAGAACTGAAATTTCCACCTCCTGAGATAGAAGTTTATCTTCCAACACTCTTCTCCCCTGCCTTCCTGGCCAACATCTGTGCGTTCCACAAAGCACCTCTCATTCATCTCTCCACTCCCTATCACCACCTAATCACCTGTTCACCTGCCAGCACTTTTGTTTTCTTACTGGGCCCAGTTATCTCTACTCTCAGCTCATCCCAAGCCCCAGGTAGAGCCCCACAAGGCACAACATTTAACTACAGCTCACTGCTGCCACGTGGGAGAGCTCCCATCCCTGCCCTCCATCTCCAGAGGTCCACTGTCACTCTGGGAACCAATTTAGCCCCCTTGGAAAGGCAGCAAACAGACTTGGCTTTGCTGCTGGATGATACTCTACTGTGTTATGAATTAAGCCAGCTCACAGAAAGACCTCTGGGGCAAGAGAAGGGTTGACACAGGGTGAGGAGGTAGCAAGAAAAGAAAAAGACCATTTTTTTTGAATACTGCAGGTGCCCACAGCAGTATTTCACTTGCCTTGAAGCAGCAGCCCCAGACCAGTCATTCCTAACACAGTCAGCAGCGAAAGTGC